CATGGCTGGAAAATAATGCTTACTAATCAGATTTCGGCAGCACTCCATGCGTGATGGCAGGCGTGCTTGACGCTGAATGCCCCAGTTGCGTGCTTGATGGCCTTCTTGCTTGCTGTGGGTGCAAGGATCCATCGCCGTGTTGTTCTAACTGCCATGCAACCTCCATGAGCGGGCCGTCGGGAAGGCTTCAGCCCCGCACTCTCTCTGCAAGCAGCCGCCGTCGCCGGCCGCCATGAAGCCTGCTATCGTGCTCGTCAAAGGCGTCCTGCTGCTGCAGCCGCTGTCCAGACCTTCGGCTAGCTCGTGATGCACAAAGAACGGGGGAGTTTTGGCGGCCCAAAAGCTGCATGGCTACAATCCTGGTGCTACATTAGAGCTGAAGCCCCGACCGTGGCGCTGGGCGCTTTTGCTGCGTGTCGCCGAGGCGATGTGCGAGCCTGCCAGGTGCAAGTCGGGCAGGCGTCGCCATGCCGATCAATGAGACCTTATCGCTCTGTAAATTTTGCCGCCCAAGGATCGGCGATGCGGGCCTCCATACGGCTCGGAGCGTGGGCCACACATCTCGAGCACGGCTCCAGCACAACAAGGCCTTCTCGAGTGCCGATCCGTCACCTTCGATTTGCAAATTCCAAGTTCATCCAATTGAAACGATCTTTTTGTGTTCCTGCTTGATCTCCCCGACACTCCACACCGATCAGGAATCAGGAGTCGCACATTGGCCCGCGTCTGTCTCCCTCCGCCCAGAACAATGGCCCTCCGCATCGCCAACGCGCCCACCGCCGCCGGCCGCCGCTCGGTCACGTGCCGCGCCGCAGCCCCCCAGCCCGCCGCCCCCGGCCGCAGGGCCGCGCTCGGCGCGCTCCTCGGCGCCGCCAGCCTCGCGCTCGCCGCCCCGCGGCGCGCGCTCGCCCTCATCCCCGACGAGGAGGACGAGGAGCTGCTCGAGCGCGCCAAGGCGAACCGCGCGGCGCGCCTGCAGAAGAACCAGGAGGTGACGCGTGCCTTTATCAAGGAGGAGGGGCTGACCAACAAGCAGCTGGACTCGGAGCTCATCCCCGTCCAGAAGGCGATCACCAAGCTCGCGCAGTCGGGTGGGTGGGCGGTCCCCTTGCAACCTCGCCACGCAACCGCCGGCGCCACGGGCAGCGGCGCGGACGCCTGCCCGCGACGCGCGATCCGTGCTGCGCGGGCGATGTGTCCCGCCCCGCGGACTGGGTGCCTTCGGCGGGATAGCAGCAGTCTAGCGGCCCGACTGCGCTCCCTGACCATGTTGGCTGTGCGGCTTTCCATACTCGCCACGCCACCACGCCCGTCGGGCTCCAAAACGCGCATGAAAGCACCCCGTATCGCCACGCGACCCCTCACCCGCCCGCCCGCCCCGCGGCGCCACGCGCCCCGGCCCCGCCCCCTCCCCGCTGCGACGCAGGCTCCCAGCTCGAGGCGGACGACGTGAAGGCCGCCTCGTCCACCCTGAACGGCGACTGGGTCGACGATTTCAAGAAGGCCAGCACCGTCCTCAGCACCACGGACGCCGCTAAGGGCGCCACCACGGTGGGTGCGGACGCGTGCGCCGGACGCCTGGGACCGCGCGGCCAGACGCGCGGCCGGCCCCCAGCGGCGGAGCGCGCTCGAGTGAAGGGCGGGGAGCAGCGGCACGGCGCGGGGCGGGGCGCGCACACTGTCATGGGACGGTGCCAGTCTGTAGGGGTCGGGATTGCTTCATGGGTGGCCGCTTCAGCACGGGTCGCCCATGGCCGCTAGCTCGTCTTCCCACCAAGCACCCGCCGCCCCGCCGGCTGCCTGCTGTTTCAATCCTCAGGCCCTGTTTGACGGCATCGCTGGCCTGCGGAAGTCTGCCGGCAAGGGCGACATCAAGGCCACCAAGCAGCAGTACGTCGCCGTGGTTGGCTCCCTCCAAAAGTGGGCCGACGCCGCCGGCGTCGCGGGCAACCTCAAGGGCCTGTGATCTGGCCGATGGGATCTGGATGATCTGACCGTCGCCGAGACCTGATCTGGGCGACGGCCGCAGTTTTGCTGTTCCGGTTGAGGGATGCTTGCCGCGAGGACGGCGATGAGGCGGCGCGGCGGGCGCCAGCGGCAGCATCCGGTTTGTCGGGTCGCGTTTTGGCGCCGTCCGCGGCGCACGCAGGGCGTTCCCCGCGCGCGCTCAATCGCCGCGGACCTGAAATGCACGGGTGTGTGTCACTGATTTCCTGCTCAGGCGTCGCCCTCAAAAAGCTGGTTTTGATGCCGCGGCACCAAAACGCCCGTGGCCTGGCGGGGTGTCTTCGTCTCGCACTGCCCAACGTGGCAGCGGCGCGCAAGCCGCATGAAGAAATGCCTGGCGGCACACATGCACGCACACGCTGCCTTGGACAACCAATGCTGTAATGCGCACTTCCCATTACGGAGACAGCTGTGCTCGGCACAAGGGGGGCCAGAATAAGGGGAAGTTGCCGCTATAGGGTGTGCGATTGCAGCATTCACAGCTAATCGTTCACAGCAAAGGTACGAGGCCAAGCCAACAACCACACTGCCTGTATCCGGCGCTTGCTTGCTTGTGATGAATCTTTGCTGTGGCTGAAGAAATGGAGTGCCTGGTCACTGGCAAGCCTTCCTTTCCAGAACAGATGCTTTTTGCAGTGAATCCAGCAGCGTGCTGTGAGGTGCGCGGCGCAAGGCCTCTGTGATGCGTGTTTGCCTTTGGCGCGCTGCAGCGGCATGATGAGTGGGTGGTGATAGGTGGTTCATTGGTTGTCTGGTGGGACACGCTGGATGGCCAGGCGACTGGTGGAGGTGCCTGAATGCCTGATGGCATCTTGCGGAGCGATGTTGACGGCAGAAGGCAGGGTTTGGTGTGGTCGGTGATGGCGCCCGAGTGACACAGTGGCGAGTGACACAGCAACAGGATGTGCTCGCCAAGTACGTGACCCACCCGCATGCGCACCATCGTATGCATCGGTGTATATTGATACGCGCCTAGTGTGCCAGCTTGCATCATGAACGCGCCTTTTTGAGCCGTCGTGTCCTTGCACTTGGGCGGCAGCCTGGCATGTGGCTCTTCGTTCAATGTCGTCAAGTACGCTGTAGTGTGCATTCTGGCAATGGAAGGGCTCAAAAGAGCAGGTGGGTGGGTCTGCTGTGTGAGTGCACTTGTTGCTGTTGTTGCTTGTGCGCTGTGGAGTGATGCGAACGCCGCTATGATCGCCGCAGGAACAACGGAAGGATTCGTCAGCATCTATTGGGCGATAGCAGGCCGCCATTAGAGGTGGGTTGTGTTGCCATCGGAGGCTGTGATCTGCTGCTGACCGGGTGTTCAGGGAGCTAATGTGTATTTGACTCATGCACCGCAGATTTTTTATCCTCCTGGAAGCCCGCTGCATGGCACTCAGGGACATGTCATTCTGCCGGGCAGCCCGGATGACACACGCTGCGACGGCCCAGACGCGCACAGCAATGGCGGCGCAAGTGGACAGCTTACCACCCCATTCGGGGCGCCATCGACTGCGGCTGCCAGCACCAGCGCCGGTGGCATGGGGCAGCGACGACTCCCAGCCGGCCCAGCAGAGTTGCCACCGCCACTGTCGCTACCTGGCAGCATCAGGCGCCTGCAGCGGCCAGCGCACCCCCACACACAGCGGACTGCCTTGCGCCAAGAGCTCGCAGATGCTGCGGTGGGGGGCGTCGAATCCCTGGAGGCGGCGGTGGACGCGCGGCTGGAGCTGATGGACTCGCAGCTCATCGCGTTTGCCGCGCAGCAGCTCGCGGACTGCGTGAGGCGGCGGCCGCAGGCCGGCGGCGCTGGCAAGCGCTGGCGGCCCGCGCAGGAGCAAGACGAAGAGGATGACCGCCAGCAGCAGCAGCAGCGGCGGCAGGCTGGCGGCGGATGCGAAAGCAGCGCCGGCACAGGGGCGCAGGCGCTCGCGGGGCGCCTCTCCGAGGCGGCGCTTGCGAAGGCCGGCGCCGCGGCAGCAGGCGACCTGTCGTCGCTGCTGCGCGCGCTCGCGCAGGCGCAGCTCGCGCCGCGCCCGGCGGTGCTGCAGGGGCTGGGGAGCTACCTGGTGCACGTGGCACTGCGGCTGCGCCTGGAGCAGCCCGCGGGGGACGTCGCTGCGTTCCAGGCGCCGCGGCAGCAGCAGCAGCAGCAGCAGCAGCAGCAGCAGCAGCAGCAGCAGCAGCAGCAGCCTTCTCAACAGCGGCGGCCTGAAGTGGACCAGCAGCATCAGCATGCGATCCGGCATGCGCAGTGGGGTCAGCAGCAGCAGCAGCAGCAGCAGCAGCAGCAGCAGCAGCAGCAGCAGCAGCAGGAGCAGCAGCAGGAGCAGCAGCAGGAGCAGCAAGGATGGGGCGCCCACACTCACCAGCAGCCCCTCCGGGCCTCACAGCCGGCCCCGGCCCCGCACCAGCTCAACCCCACCCCTACGGCGGCCGCGGCGGCCGCGCGGACCGTGGCGCAGTCGGCCTGGGCGCTCGCGAAGCTCGGCCTGGCCGACCCGGCCGCGTGGCGCGAGCTGGCCAGCTTGATTGGCGAACGCGCGCCAGACATGAGCAGCCTGGACTGCATGCACTCGGCCTGGGCCCTAGCAAAGGCAGGCGCCGCGGACGATCAGGCGTTTTCGGCGCTGGCGCACCGCGCGTATGTGCACGCGCACGCGCTCGACCCCCAGGCGGTCGCGACGCTGCTGTGGGCGTTCGCCACTGCCGGCTACTACGACCCGCGCCTCACAGCCGCGCTGGCGGCGCGCGCGGCCGGCACGGCCGAGCGGTTCTCTCCGCAGTCTGTCTCCATGGCGCTGTGGGGCGTCGCGCGGCTGCGCCACTACGACGCGCGCCTGCTGAGCGCGCTGCGCGTGCGCGCGCTCGGCAGCATCGGCGGCCTTGCGCCGCAGGCGCTCGCCAACATCGCGTGGGCGCTCGCCACGTTTGGTGTGCGCGACGAAGCGCTTATGGCGGCGCTGTCCGCGCAGGCCGAGGCGAAGGCATGCCGCTTCTCATTTCAGGGGCTGGCGAACCTCGCGTGGGCCGCGGCAAAGGTGGGGTGGCACGAGGACGCGCGCGGCGCCGCGCTGCTGCGCGCGGTCGCGCGCGCCGCGGCGCCCGGCGCGCGC